CACAGTGTACCGACCCTTGGCTGCCGCGCGACCACTACTGGTCGCGTGTTGGCTGAGTATACCTTGAGGACGCCTCCCGCCCCTACGCGGATTCGAACCTGCGACTTGAGGATTGCAAGTAGGCGCGCAATCCTTTCGGTCACCGGCCGGACGACAACTATTCTCTTGCAACAACCGACATGCGTTTTTCCAGAAGAGCCCGTTGTTTTTTCTAGTCTGTCATGTTTTAATTGCATTACATTGTATCCTTTCTGCCTGCACCTCGCAGCCTAAATGATGATCGCATTGTACTCTCAGTGCAGGTATGCATTCTTCTTCTTCTTCGTAATTCCAAACAGAGTAACTAACTTTTCGGACTTCCAGCCTTCGATTTTCTGACAACGGATAGTGTCGCAAGTAGACGTTTCCGTGTTGTTGTATGACGGCAAGAATGCCATCTCACTGAGGTGTGATGGCTTGGAAATAGTAGTAGTACTTCACTGGGGCTTTGACAGCAGCCGAGAACAAATAGCGCCTATCGTTGTCCTTACTCGACATCACCTAACCATTCGTTTCTAGGCGATCGCTTATTTGCTTCCAGCGACTAGTATTAGTTCAGCCCTGAAGTCGATAACGGTACACACTGCAGCTTGCTTGGGTGCGATTAGCCACTAGCGAGAAGATCAGATAGACACCGGTATTTCGACAGCCGCAAACATTAGTGCTGAGGGCACTTTATTATTGCAGAAAGGTGACAAATGTTGTGAGATGTTAACATTTCGATTGTTCTTCTCAGTCGCAAACACAATACATGCTAAATGTAATCGAATGAGTATACCTGAGACCAACGTTCATGAACAGGATGCAACGAAAAAACCAACCACACGACAATCTAACAGATTGCCTCGATTGTTTCTGTGCGCACAGTGTTGGACGATTCTGCGTGATAAACAGTGCCTCGTCTATAGCCAACAGTTTTGGATTCTTATACCGCAGGAATATTTTAAATGTGGTCGATATGCCCACGTGATGAACAGCCGTCATGAGATGTTTTGCGATAGATGAACCAGGGTTCCGCTTTATCGTGTTCTTTATCAGCAGTGCTCATTTCGCTCGTCTCTTCGCAATTTTGGAATTCGGTTCACCCGAATCTGTCTGTATCCTACGAGATGGAACAACATGATAGCTTACTGTTTCTGGACAAATCCATCAAAAGGCGGATCGATGGTACAATTCAGCGTATTGTTTACGGCAAAGCGCCCTGGAGCCGGGCACTATCTCCACTTTACTAGCTTTGTTCCCGTTGCATACAAACGCGGCCTTGTGAAAACTCTTTTCTATAGGTCCAGGTGAATTTGTAGTGCGGAGACACTAAAAGCTGAAGAAGACTTTTTACTTAAGACCCTACTATTCAATGGGTATCCGGAAACATTTATCCAGATCCACAGCAGACCACCAAAAGTAAAGACACTGGTGCATACGGCAGAGCAAAATTCTGTCTATTTGTTCCTGCCATTCAAATGTCACCATATCGCTAACGATATTGCACGTAAAATCAGGTCTGCTATAGAACGCACTTACACAACCGCCCAGTTGCAACTCGTCCACACCAATCGGAGACTAGTGCTACACCACCATCCAGTCGAGTTGTCGGACAGTCTGGCCTCTAATATAATCTACTAGTTCACCTGCAGTTGCGGTGACGTATACATTGGCAGGACTGACCGGCGGATGGCCCAAAGGGTGGCCGAACGCCTCCCAAGTTGGTTAAGGCAGTCGATGTCACAACAAGGCGGAGTGGATCAGGCGATAAAGCGGAACCCTACTTCATCTATCGCAAAGCATCTTCTGACGACTAGTCATTACGTGGGCATATCGACCGCATTCAAAGTACTCCTGTGGTATAAGTACCCAAAACCTTTGGCTATAGAAGAAGCACTGTTGCTCTCACTCAGAATCGTCCAACACTGTGCGCAAGGAAACAATCGAGGCAATCTATTAGATTGTCGTGTGGTTGATTATTTTTGTTGCATCCTGTTCATGAACGTTAGTCTAACGTATACTCATTCGTTTACATTTAGCATGTATTGTGTTTGAGACTGAGAAAAACAATCGAAATGATACCATCTCGCAACATTTGTCTTCTTTCTGCAATAATAAGTGGATAAAGGAGACGCAATGTTTTTAATTTCTGCAACGGGGACAATTTAATCGACTGCATACCAGTGGACAGCCGCATGTGTGCGGGTTGACTTCGAATCTCTATTGGGGGTTCATAAGCACGTCTGTAGACAGTATACATTGTGACGTTCAACTATGGTAGCTTTCCTTTACTTATAAGTTATCTTTCACTTGTTTTGTCATCCCAGCCTGTGGTACTGATTATCCGTGAAGAGAGTGTCAGAAAATCTCCTTTCCCCTATAATCTCTCTGTCACGACTCCCGATTCTGGATAAAGATCTACGGGAAGTAATCTTTTGAGTTCCTCACAACAACTCGTTCTCGCAAGTGTTGTGCTACGTCTCCTTGGTTCCTCATTTTTCTTATCGGAATGATCGTGTATGGCCTTCCTCTCGGTCTCTTCTGGAGATTCTACAAGGCAACTCTGCGTATGCGCATGACATAACTCTCTTTGAGTCGAGCTCTGTGGTTATGCAGGCATTACTGACTCGGCTGATGTATAGTGCTGCACACCTTAGCATGTGTTGCACACTGTCAAAGTACTGCTGCACGATTGGTACTCTCACCGAACAGCCATTGTAATTGGTCGATCAGTTCATCTACTTCATAAAGCAATTGGCCGAAAAATCTCGTCAGGCTGGTGCATGCCGTCCACGTTTATGAAGGCCTCGGGATGCGACACATCAGTTTCAGGCTACCCTATCGAACTAGTTGCAGTTGCGCTCCTTCATTCGCTATCTTGTATGTAGCTATTAACGTTTCTTTTCGATTGCTTTTAGTAACTACTTTCCTGACTCCTTTCCCTTTGTATTCTATCTGCGTTCAGCTTCACTTTTCTCGCTATTGTTATTTATTCTCCTGATGACTGACGCCGTGATAACTGCATACGCGCCATAGTTTTTTAACTGAATAGAACTGAACCGAACTATCAGCATCATCTTACGGGTTCAACTTTCAACCTCAATTTGATTTATCTAAGTGCAAACTTGGCAATAGCATACCGCTAAGTAACCTGAGGTGCGGAATACTTCGTATTATATACCGATATGAGGTCTCATTCGCTCCGAAGATCTATGCTTATGCAGTGTTTTCGAGCGGGTAATACCCAATTTCCATCTGCTGCGGCTACGGTCCCAGTGATCGCAGTGACCAATATTCACTTCATTGTGGATCTCGGTCCACATTGAGATTGCGTGTCGCAATCCAATCACACAACATGTAGTCCAAAATTGACCCTTCAATTATATGAAACCTTATTTTGTTTGTATGATCGAAACAATGGCATCGTTTAAACTCGTTAGAATTGAGGACTTTGCGGCCACTATCCAGCAACAACATTTGTAAGTGGCCAATCCTGGTGGTGATAATTATTCTGTCGTTGCTTGTTGACAATTTGTAGGCATCCGCTTGTGTCCAAATACCCATCACAATGTGGGCATACCTCTAGCATCGGAATAGAGTGGTTGCGAATCAGACCGCCATTCCACTTTATGTATTCTGCAACATAGGCATGGATATTCTGGCATCTATCCGGCCGACTTTTTTGATTACTGGGCACGAGTCCACAAACACTACTTTCAGTGGCACAATGCTTTGTTTTTACATCCCTTCTGTTAGTCGCCATTTATCCTAACCGACCTCGATTCATAAACCACGACTTCAATCATATTTCATCTTTTCTCTGGGGATCAGGTCTTATTACTTTCGTTTGACAACGTATTCCCTGTTACGTGTCTCTGAACTAGTAGCGGCGATATTTTCGGTGCTGTCCCTGTCAATTTGTGATGTTGTTCGACTTTGTGACGTGGTGAACGATGAAAACGCTTTGTTTTTTTAGATCTAGTGTCATGCTCACCCCAGAAAAGTAGGACATCAACAGTACGCCGATACTCCGTACCTACACTTCGCTGCCATGCAACCAACACCTGTAGCGTGTGGGCTAAGTGTACTGCGAGAGTGGCCCACTCCTCTACGCAGACTCGAATCGGCGACCTCCGAGTTGCACGGTAGACACCTTGTTCTTTCAGCCACCGGCCGGCTCACTCTAGGTTAGTCGGGAGGTATGCGCTGGTATTGCTATGCTTTTGTTCCCAATGCTCACGAGTTTTCTATCTCCCAGCGCATATGCAACGTTTGGCATCTTTGTGACTTGCTCCTCCTTACATTGAACCTGCGGTCCATTGATTCTACTGACAACTTGATATACCGCTTGCATTGCGAAAACTTTTTTCTTCTCATTTTCCCAATGGAATGGATGCAAGTTTGCGCGGAACTTGGGTGTTTATCCTGTCCAAATTCTCGAATCGATCATCTGCTTTTTAGTTGTTCTCCTGCCAGGGGATCAGGCGTCTGGTTTGAAAACTACAAGCCAGCGATTCGTGTCTTCATGACTGCGTGCGGACCCGCAATGTCCCTCGCCCACACGCAACTGTTGGTTGTCGTGTCGGTGGAACGCTCGTACGAATTTCCCGCACACTTCGGGTATCCTGTCTTTTCAGTTGTTCTTACACTAGAACAATCTCCGCTTTCAGTGAAACACCGCAGAGTTCACTTGCTCTGTGGTATTAACTTCGACTTCCAGACGCTGCATGTCAGATTCTATTTTAAATCATATATGCCGGGGAGTCGAAGGAACTTGTCATAGACTACAGTATTTTTGAGCGAGTATTCGTTGATATCTCGAGTGTTATGCTTTTTCCGTACTACAGAAACTCGTTGGAGATACACACCGAAACCGGACTACTTCTCATCCATATTCTTTTCGATAATCATTACGAAATTAATCGCCATGAATGAGCTTAATTCATGACTTGGTTCACTTCCATCTGTTTCCTCGCCTAGCTCTGCATACCATCATGCATCGCCATGCGCTAGACGCAATCACTTCTCTATTACCCCAAACGCAGTCAGCTACCTTGATCATCAGTCAGGAGTTGGCCCTTTGCATCCAGAACTATATTTGCGCTATTGGCACAGATTCAAATCTTGTAGCCCAAATATCGGGAAAGGAAGTTTATGAAGCTTTCTGTTTATGTTGTATGGACTATCTCTATAAATGCGCGAATGCTGAGGTCGGGCCGGATGAACCACTGGACGCGGTGTTCAGCATCACTCGTGAAGCACAACTTAGGAGGTGTATGGAATTTCTTATTTGCCTTGGTGCTTACCCGCTACTTGATGCGGGCGTTTCGCTTCCACTGGAAATGCGCCTAGAATCCTCTCCTTATTATCAGTGTCCGAAGAACTTATCGGATCCAAATCGTCGGGATAAACTTTTACAAGTATGTTGGTTTTTTATCGTTATAGACACGTTACACCTTAACTATTGACTTTTTATGACAGTGCTTGATACCGTGTATCGTTCATTCTGCGCTCAGATCGGTCGATGCCTCTTGCAACTGCGAGGGAGTAAATTGGAGCAGTTGAAACGCTTGATCTCGCCGAATTTGTTCCTTGGGGATCTTATTGCTGTGTTGGCTCAAGCTGCCTACGGACCAGTGAACTCGGTTCCCAGCTCTGATCTACCGACTATCGACAATCCTTGCACTCAGAGTCGAAAGCTTTTATGGACATTGCTAACTGATTTACCTGGCGACGTTGCTATGAAGGAATTACTCATTTTACAAGGTGGTACTTCCGGAACTTCACAGGTTAACATGATCTTTTCTCTAGTGTATAACCTTAGAAATGCGTACATTCATCCCTTATATTTGAAGGTACCTACCTTCACTGCGCGTATTATCAGTTTGACAATGTTATAAGACAAAACCCGTTTATGGTTTAAACACAATTCTCCAATTTGGACCATTTGTGCTTTTTCTTTCTAGCTTTCGCCCCTTTGTTTTGTTGTTTCCTTTTTTGAGTCTTGATTTTTTGGAATGCTGCAAGTTTTCACGACATGTAAATGTCCCAAATGAGCTTTATTTTCAGGTTTATGACATGTTATTTGTCGGTTTAGCGGAGCTGTAAGCTACTGGACGCATCACAAGGTTGCGGATCTGGGACTGTCTTGTGGATGTAACTGTGAATAAGTCCCGACTCTTCGCAGGCGAGATGAATAAGCGATCGCGGAGAATTAGCGTGTGTCTTATGGGTCGGCGGATTCTAGGCTGGTTACCTGGTTCCACATTAAATATCATTGAATCTCGTAGGGCGCAGTGACATTATCTGTGATCGGTTATGGGGTCACTGACCAGAAGTGAGTACCTAATGGAGCACGAATGAACTATCTCGATGGTCTCCGGCTTCTACGTGGACTTTTAACCCTTCTAAAGCTATCTGGCTTTAAGAAGCTTTAGTTCATGACGGCAAGTTCCAAGAAACTCATCGTGACTTAGCTAATGCTTCTGAGTTCATCAGCGGAGCCACTTAATCGGATGGCATGTCTGTTTCGGATGCACCCGATTCGCTACCTGGCTGGTCCTTTGTACCCGTTTGTTTATTTTCTCGGCTGTCATCATTCCTGCGTGTGTCGACTCACAGTTTACCGGTACGTGCTTTGTTTGGCTGTCAGATTTTGGATGGGGTTAGAGTCGTGGGAGGGGTATCAGATTATGAAGTGGCTTGCCTTTCAGGAGGGCCACCTCCAAACAAAGTGGCTCGTTTTGCTAACATTTAAGTTCCCCAATCACAACTATTTGTTTCTATCATTTTAGCTTGTCCCTCTCAACACCCTGGCCTGTGATGCTTTTCTTTGCATTGTTCCAACCTTCCCTTACTCCGAGTTATCGTACTCGGTGATACATACTCTTTCAACAATTTTTTCGTCTTCTCACCCTTTCTTGCTGTTAACAGTTTGGTTGATTGATGGACATCAAGAGCATAGTATTACCACTAGACTGGATGCTGTTACTTCACATGTTTCCGGAGAGGGTCTTGCAGACTTTTCCTGAACTTTACTCGAGACAACACTGTACACGGCACTCGCTCAGCGCCAGTAGCGTGGTTATCTTCCTCTCTCCGATTTGCATGCTTGTAGTGTGTACGATGCTCTAATGTATGATGTTGAGCTGATTAGAGAACAGTGTAACAACAAGTGTAGAGAAACTATCTTCCCAACTCCACGGCCAACAGCGTTTTAGAACGATATAGGCATTCTGCTACCGTACGTTTGCTCACTACATTTAGGTCGTGCTTTTGATTTTCTTTTTCACCACTGGTGTCCCCTCTCTTGATTTACGGCTGCGCAACAATTGACCGGCAGTACATATTGCCGGTGTATCATTATTGGAAAGGCTTGGGAACTTGTATGTGGGCTTTGTGCTAATTTAGCTATTCATAACGCACTTCACAGAATCTTTTAATAGGATCGAAATACCTGACTTTTACTTAGAGCATCTGATGATAGCTTACGCGAGCAAAACCGGCACGCGGCCAATGAACTGGAAAGCCAGTCACCGCATCCAGCGCAAGCTGACCGCACTTACACACTGACCAGGTAAACAGGGGGGAATTGATTTGCTGCAATATTGTGAGTCAAGCACAGCTATGGTTCTGGACAAAGGCGGGAGGACACTGTCCGCCTGCGACACTGATCCTAAATCGACGGCGCATGGTGCAATACTAGCTAGTCGACCGAACGAGCGAAACAGACAGATCCGACAGTGGGAAAGCCAATCAGCGCTGCTGACACAATTTGACCACGTTTGCGCGGGCAGGATGAACCGGTCAGGATTGGTTAGTGGTATTGTGAGCAAAGTGCAACTTTGCTTTAGCTAAGATAGGAGTAGTGCAAACGTGATCGAGGATGAACGACGAGCGCAAGTCAATGAAACTGGGCAGATTCACCCAGTAAAAGTGCACTTCAATGAAGTAGCGATTCAAATTTGTGTACAGTATAAAATGATCTTTTCTTCATTAATAAGGGATTTTTGGATCGTTGCCCAGTCTTCGTTTGGATTCTCAGAGGGTGACATTAAGGTTTTCAATTCAACCCGATCACCCCGAATCTAGCCTAACATTTTGGTGCAACAAATCAGTTTATGGTTTCAGCATTTTTAGTTTCGTTCCAGAATTTTGAACTACTTACGAGCCAATGACGGTGTGACGCATTGTTTATTTGATGTTTTCTTTTACTCAGATCATTGCGTTATCTTTTACTTGTGTGTCACATATTGCAAACCTTGTGAATGAATTAAAATATTCAACGATTACCATTTTCATGCAGAATAAAGGAGCCGTTCGGCTTCCAACTGCTCCAGCGTGGCTCCGAAGAGCGTGCGGTAGGTTGTTGTCTCGCCTGCTTGTTCGTTCAAGAGATAGCGGATCCGAATCGGTGGAATCAGGCGTACTCGATCTTATACTGGCCTCCGCGTCTCTTTCTCCAGGACTCACCTCGTGTTCCCCTTCCAGTTGCATCACTTCACTTGATCCTCGCTTACAGCCGGCTCTCGTTCATGCTCTCGCTTCGATTATCTCTTCCTCTCCTGCAACATTGCCCAATCGGCTATCATCCGCTACCGTGGAGCCTTCCGAATCCCATTATCACCAGTTTATTTCAAAACAGGTTAGTGGAATCTTCCAAATCCTTTTACACGTACTGTCACTACTCAGCTGCAACGTGAAATGATAAATGTAACTATCATCGTCATTAATACACGTTAACCTAGGTTGAACAGCACACAACTGATATGCCGCGATACAAAAAGCATAAGAGACTATAAGAGCTAAAAACTAGCCTAATGCTAAAATCACATTATTCATTGGGTTTTAGATCGTTGTTCCGGGAAGAAACTAAATGGAGGGAGAGACAAAGGAACTTACAGCACAAACGCCATGGAGGTCAGCCCCTTGCCATATCAAAAGATGTATTTAACCAGACTTGTTCATCGTCCTTGGTACCCAACTCGGCAGTCGGTATGCACTAACCGACGCCAAGTTCGAAATAAGGACCTTCATTCCTCTTGACTAAGTTCTTGCTTGGTCTCCTCTTCCTTCACCCAGACTCCGGGTGCGCAATTAAGGCACGACACAGGAGTCCGTATGCTAGCATGCGCGACGCGCGGCCCATTCATCGGAGCCTGGTGTCTGTGACAGCTCACAAATGTGCCAAGCGGCACTGGCCAGCTTAGCACTAGCTGTCCGTCACTTCGGGCTTTGCTTCGCACCCTCGAAGTGCAAAGCGTTCCTCCACAATTGGTCTGGACCGCCCACTACGCTGACCCTTGGTGGGGATCAGCTAGAAGTCGTTCAAAAATTCAACTACCTGGGAAGTTGTATCAGCGTCCGTTGGACTGAAGATGAGATCACGAACCGTATAGCAAAAGCTCGGGGCGCTTTTGCTAACCTTCGCCACTTATGGCGACGGCGCGACATCACTCTTGACCTGAAGGCTAGAGTGTACAATGCAGCAGTACGTTCGACCCTACTGTACGGTTGTGAAACCTGGTGGCTTAAAGCAGCGGACCGGAAGAAGCTAGTTACGTTCGACCACCGGTGCCCTCGTAATTTAGCTCACATCTGGTGGGAACACCGCGTGAGCAACGAGCGTGTCCGACGCCTTGTTTATGGCACAGGAAAAGGAACTGAACCGCTCAGCACCGTTATTTCACTCACCAGGCTCCGATGGCTCGGCCACGTGTTACGCATGCCAGCCCACCGACTCCCGCGACGTGCGTTGTTTGCGCGCCGGGGATGTGGATGGAAGAAGAGGAGGGGTGGCCAAGCGATGACTTGGTCGAGAGGAATGAAGGCCCTTACTTCTGAGCTGGTTTCGGTTGGAGCGTCTCTGCTCCCTGGTTGTGGTCCGAAAGACGAACACGTTTGGTTGGACACACTTGCTGACATGGCCAGGAGCCGATCTCAGTGGCGTTCGTGCTGTGAGTTTCTTTGTCCCACCCCATCCCTCTTAGCCTCCCCCTCCAACCACGATCTCATTATTTAACCTTATATAATTTTGCATAATAATTTTTTTGCTGCATAGTAGCCGGCTGGTGGTTTACCGGAACGATGCCCATCCGTTACCGGTAGCTTAGCCGGCTTGCCCCAGTTGAATTCTTTTTTTCTCTCTCCTTTTTTCTGTGTATTGCGGCACAGTAGCTGAAGTGTTCCCCACCTCTAGCTAACGTGTATGATGATGATGGTATGTGGTATAATGGTGCTGAACGGTTCACTCGCTCTTCCCGATTCAATACGCAGCAGCGAACAATTGGTGTTCGCACCAGATATGAGCGGAGCTTCGAAGGCCACGATGATCTAACGTACCTAGCCTTTTAATGTCAGTGGACTTGATGGGCCAGGTTTCGCAACCATACAGGAGGGTTGGACGGACGGCTGCATTGTAAACGCTGTCCATCAGAGCGAGAGTGATATCACGCCGGCACCATAGGTTGCGGAGATTGACAAAATCTCCTCGAGCTTCGGCTATACGGTTCGTGAACTCATCTCCAATCCAAAGGGCGGTGATACAGCTGTACAGATACTTAAATTTTTCGATGACTTCTAGCTGATCACCGCCATGGGTCAGCGCATGAGTGGGTCCTTGCCATTCTTGGAGGACTTTGCATTTCGAGAGTGCAAAGCATATCCCGAAACGACTGACAGCCGTAACTATTTTGTTTATTTAAGCATTTATGGCTGGATGTTTTGAATGCATTACACGCTCGGATACTAATGATACAAACGGATAGTGTATTTCATTTGAACATAAGGATGGGTTATTTATAAAATTATTCTTGTGGAAACCCACTTGACTGACGTTTATAATTTGGACAACGGCTTAATGCTTTAACTTTTCTTCGAGCTCCCGAGAATACTTTATATTTGTTTTAATGAATGGTTTCTGCGGTTTTGTATGTAAAGGCTACATTTCTGCTTTCTGCAGTAATTTTTAAACACCGGCCGTGGGAGCGCAGTATATATGTCTGTTAAGAGTTCTGCAGCCATATACACCCACAGCTTTCACTTCTGCAGCCGTTCATTCATCTAGAATGATCGCTTTTACCATTTTCTTCCATCTCTACGCAGCATTTATTTGCGTTCACACACCTAATTGTGTTCCTCTAATTAAATGCATGCTGAAAAATGTTAACGGTAGAAATTACGTAAAGTAACATAAGATAATTGTTTTTTTTGCTGGTAATGGAACAACAAACCTTTATGTTTATGTGATTATTCGTTTTTTGTCTATTTAAATTTTCGCGCTACAAACTGGTGGAACACTACCATATAAACGCCTTAGTTTTCCATGTCCTTCGATGGTGTCCGTAACACTTCACCATCCTTGACCACTCCTCGCCGCACCGAATAATTCTATTTTGGTGCTCTGATGCCATTGTGTGTTGAGTGCTGTCAAGATTGCTTTCATTGAGAAGTAATTCCAAAAGTACAAGCTTATTCCCGGGGGTTCATCACCCGGCTAATGCACACAAGTGTTAAACACCGTGAGTCATTGGATCCAAATGTCTACTGGGTGGTGCTACACGATTGATCATGGCCTTAGTGAAGCCGTGGGAGGTGGCGTGATCGTTATCCATGGTAGCTCGCGACCTAGATGTTACCAAGGATCTGAACGAATTTCTCTGCACAAAGGTCTGGAGTTTGGAGCCGAATCATGATCTCGTCTGCTGTAGACAGTAGGTTGTGTCTGGTCGACTTCACCTTAACGACTTACTGTTCCCATTGAGAACCGAATCACCAAAATCCAGGCTGGTTTCCACTCTTGTCGTGGAGCAGAGACACCTACAGACGACCGACTATGGTAGTTTTCCTTGACTTGAAAGCCGCATTCGACTGTTAACCGCGCGAGCCTGTGGCACTGCCTATCCATAAAGAGCGTGCCGGCTAAATTCCTTTCCATTATACAGTCTCTCTGCTGTGTCTCCCGAGGCCTTGTAAGGGCCTACGGGAAACTGTCTTCCGAGTTCCCACGACAAGTGGGTTCGCCAGAGTTGTCCTGTATCTTCTTTCCCCGTCAACTTTGTTATCGAAATGATCATGAATGACTCCGTTCTTTCAAACTACCGGAGTGGAAGTTTTGCCAGGTGGCCGACTGACAAACCTGGAGTATGCGAACGACGTAGCTTTTATGGGTTTAAAGCAGTGACTAAGCAAACTCTACTGGCTAGCGTGATGCGTAGCGCTGCGTGTATGCTTTGCACCTTCAAATTGCAAAGTACTGCTTCATGACTGGACCGACTCACCTGCGCTTCTAGCTATCAGTGAACAGCTACTGGAACTAGTGGCTCGGTTCACTTACCTTGGTAGCTCTGTCACCTCTTGTGGTCACATCACTGAGCATGGCGCCTCCGTATATCAGCAAGGCCTGTGTGGCTTTACAGAAGTTCAGCCATCTTTAAAGACGGCGGGATATCAGCCGGTCAGTGAAAGATACGGTGTTTAACGCTGCGATAAGACCGGTCTGGCTATATGGATCAGAGACTTGACCAGTTCGTAGTGAAGACGTCAAACGCCTGACCATGTTTGACCACCGTTGCTTGCGGTATATTTCTAACGTCTGGTGGGAATACCGGATGAGCAATGCTGTTTTGCCAGTTAGTTTTTGGCAAGAGACCTTTAGTGCGTCACTCGAGTTTTTGCTGAATCTTAACCGTTTGCGTTGTCTAGGTCATGTCCACCGTAGGTCCGTTGATCGGCTTCTTCGGCATGCATTATACGCCGTGGCCGCACGTTGTTGGGCGAAACCGCCAGGTGGCTAGTCCATGACGTAGCAAAGTGCCATGACGAAACTGACTGAGAGACTTGGTCAGGCTGGTGTGTGCCGTCTTCGTGGATACGGCCTCTGGGTGGTCCACACCAGTAGTTGGAGGACGTACCAGACATGGCGTAATCGGTGGCATACTTGCATTCGGTTTCTTGCGTCTACTTGTTAATTTTCCTTTCATTTTGCTTGCTTTAATACATTACTAATAAGTAGGAGGATTTTAATTGTAATGTTTTTGTCCCAGCTGCTCACAAGCTACATAGCAGAGCCTAGTCCGGAAAAGCACCAGACGCGTTTCGCCCTATTGGGGCTCGTCAATGGTGCGCATTCTCTCGGTCCCCTACTGGGGATCGAACCCATGACCGCTAGAGGCAGATGCCAACTAGCCAGCAGCTTAAACCACTGAGCCATGGGGGACGTCCACTGGGCTACATAATTTGCAAGCCAACTGGGATATAACACAACCTATCTTCCACTGCCAGGCAGCTTACTACCTTAGCAGATGACAGTGGCTAGCCTCCGAAGGTCATGACTTCTTCTCACTAGACGCCACGTCCATAGCATTTGAAACTAGAAGAGAGGCTAAGGCATATACCACTAATAAGTAGGAGGATTTTAATTGCAGTGTTTTCGTTCCAGATGTTCACAAGCCTTTTCCGGACTAGGCTGCGCAATCTAGCTTGTGAGCAGCTGGAACGAAAACATTACCTTAATACACTTCCTTCTTGCCTCCATCTTATTTACATTCTATTTTCATCCAACCCCACTATATTGACTTTGCTATTTATTGTCATTCTTTCGATGTGAGTCGTGGCAACTGGATCCACCGCATTTCGGTGCTCGATGGTAGTTGTTCGATTGAACTGAGCCCTAGTCACGTTGCTCTATCGACCAGACATTTCGGTCTAGTAGCTCACTGCGTTTAATTCTCGTGTTTGTTTTAGCCCCCTCACATGTGGCTGTTTTAACCCAATGGTGGACCGAGCGCTGAATATTCACGCTTCATGAGTGCTAAAAGCACATTCTTGCCTTGACTTGGAAGAGCGCGTACTACTGTGCTAATAGTCAGTAGTGTAGATATGCTGGGAAAATCAGTCGACAGCCGATTAACAGCGGACCATATTAACGACTAAGCAGAAGGAAAACGCTTGAAAGACGCAGACGTGTGCGCATTTTGAATAAATACGTAGCGGGGGCGTCGTACAGCCTCCAGTGAGGAGTTGAAGATGAGTTGAATGGCCGTAATCATAGCCAATGCTTTAACGATATTTGTCGCAATAAGTAACCGTTCGCACCTTGGGTTCTTGCAATCTGACGACGAACTACTGAGAACAAAATTCTTGTTTACCCACCTTGGTTTTTCTCCCTGTTCTGCTCAACTGTCACGCTTACTTCACCTACCATAGGTCCTTGCCCTGATCGAACCTCACCACCCGCTGACTGCTTCACATAACAAGCCTGACGGCTTGTTTGCCTTTGGTCGCCTGGTGGCCCTGGCAACAGTTCACGTGTTTTGCTCACGTAGACCCACTCTGGGGATTCAATTCTATTTGCAACCGCTGATCGGTGTATTAGATCGCTTTGTCATTCATGGGGAAGATTCATCCGCCATTGTGTGGCAAGGTGAGCACTTTTATAGCTTATATATCATACATGTTAAATATTGTATATTGTTATATTATCTGTTTCAATTTCCATTTATGCGTGTGTTGTTGGGTGGTGTAAACGAAAACGACTTTTGTTAGCGCAGATCAACCGGTTATATCGAGAAACCTTTCAGTACGAAACACTTAGTAACAAGCAATTTTGAAAGCCCTATGGTGTATTTTTGTTCGTCGCAGTCAGCCGACAATTCAGATAAGCCAACTACCTCTTCGGAAAAGCACCAGACGGCCGTTTCGCCCTATTGGGCTCTTCAGTGGTGCGCATCCTTCGGTAGAGGTAGTTGACTTATCTGAATTGTCGGCTGACTGCGACGAACAAAGTACTCGCCAGAATCCTTATTCTCAAAGCCCTATGGTGTGTTTGCTTTTGGTTAAGAGCAACCGTTTTCATAAATGAAAATACCGCGCCCTATATACCTTGCAGCTCTCATGTAAACTTTCGTGGAATTGGTTTTAAATGTAATCTACATACCACTTGAGCTGTGGGTGTGCTGAAACTTGAGACCGACAGTCTTACTTGAGAGCTGTGGAACACTCATTTCTACCTTTGACTGGACATATTGACGCGATCCGTGTTGTGTTAGACACCTGAGTTCTAAGGCAAGCCTTCCATCCGTCGCTCCTTGCCAAACGTTGCATTTGTCGGTGCATAGTCGGACAGGCGATAGCTCATGAAATCCTTTTTATCTCTACCTTTCCTGCTGTGGATCTGCGGCACCTTCGCATCTTTGCTCATTGCTGGTGTCGGTTGGCACCAACGCATCCGCAGTGATGATGCGCACAGGCGGGTGCTAGGCGGCAATAATCATGCTAGTTCCTTAGAACAACAGATAGCACTGAGCACATGTTACGTATGCCTGGTCACCGCTTACCTAGAAGGGCCTTGTTTAGTCTGCCAGATGTAGAGTGGCACAACGCCCGAAGTGAGCACACCTTAACTTAGCTGGGGGAAATGAACTCACTTGCGACCAAACTCGGTGCCGTTGGTCCTTCTCTCCTTCCAGAGTCTACGTGACCCACCTTGTGCTTGGCTTGAGACGTTAGATGGCATGGCTCGCAATCAACACCAGCGGCGCGTATGCTGTCGTCTCGTTGGATTACCTGTTTAAACTGTGTTTGATGCTGAGTTATCTGCGGGGTAATGGCTGGTTATGACGCGTGGCAGTGAAAGACTTAAGGAAGCTGTCTCAACAATGTCGCCTTATCTTTGCACCATAGCCAGCTCTTTGTGTTGTTGACACATGTTGTTAACACGTGGTGTAGACGCCTTGACTTTGAATGTTTGTTTAGGGCATTAAGGTTTTACGCTAGCTCTTTCTTTTCTTCGTTCTGTAATTCACCATGGTTGTATGCCAGCGAAGCGTCAGTTAACATGACTGATGTGCTACTACTGTTTTTTGTTGTTGTTGTTGTTGTTGTTGTTGTTGATGATGATGATGATGATGATGATGACGACGACGACGGAATATGCCCCGCCCTTCCCACGGCATACTCTGTGCATACTGTTTTCTGTGAAATCCACGTATGTCACCAGGCCTCCGTAGTACGCCGGCACAGTGTATTCGAGTCTGCTCCATCTACTGGGTCGTATCAGTACTTTTGCCGAAGGCTATTTGTCTCTCCTCCCCTTGGTTCCGAGTGCGTCGCGTGGCTAACGTTTCCTCTCGCCCGCGCATGTTGCAGTCCATAAAGAATGTGTCTTTCATCCCGGCTAGAATAGCCGTAGCAACTAGGCCCCATAACTGCCTCATAAGCTATCGCTTAACATGTTCATTTAGATGACTGTTGTGCTACCTTGTACCTGCACTTTTTGCAGTCAGGAGAATTCACTGAGCCCTGTCTGGCCGCCAGCACGAATCCTTCATTGGTGACCTGATCTCATTATCAAAGCGTCCCAAATTCGCAGATATCAGCAAATCCGACCTCAATATGGACATACTAGCGATATGGTCACTCATACAATCCTCTTGTATCATCCGCCCTGCTTTAAATCGGTGTCTCACTCTCGTTTGTTTCATACTTCAACAATGTGAGTTAGTTGAGAGGTCAACAGTGGCTTCTGGGGCGATCGATCTCACGCTTCGCTCCAACCAAATTTACGTGTGAGAGATGGTGTGTTCTTATTCGCGCCCTTGTTTTTGGATCACATGTGAGAGGTATTCACTACGCTCCACCTTCGGCCCATGGAAGCAATTGGTGCAACGAATCCACTAGAACATTGTAGCCAGGTTTGCGAGGTTTGTAACTCTCGACGTTTTCAGGTCAACATTGAGTGGTCCAGGGCTAAGTTGAAATCATTAGCATTGTGACTAACACCTTTTACTGCAAGGTACAAAGTCTTATTACCCGGAGCAAATAGCTGCTTGGTCGACTGGACTAGTACTTTATTTTGTGGGAGTTTACGCTACCACTGTCTTTTGTTGAAGGGGGCCTTTTACGGGAAATTTAACCATGGGTCTGTTCTCCTCGATGTTTTTTCTCCTTCGAGAAACGTGTTCTGCCATTATCTTCTCAGCCTTGCGGATGTTGTCCTTTGGATAAACAAAGTTTCAAATTAACACAGCACTGATGTCTCTATTTGACATGCTGAGCATGCATCTAGATGGCGTTTAGCTATTCTGGCTTCAGCATGCTAGCTAGATTCAAGTTGAAAGCCTGACTTGTTATCCTGAGGTCGTCGGTTCCACCGTGCTAGGGGACCGGGTGATCCACACAGTATCCTGAGCCCATACGCGATTGGTGGTGGTTGCGCAGCAGCAAAGTGTCCGTACTGCGTACCGGCGTACTGCTGATGCTGGGTTCCAATGGCGTTCGCTCGCCTCATTTCTGTTCACTGGTTACCGCATGCTAATTTCTTTTTGAAAAACTGATCAACCTGATATAGCGGGAGCAACATAGTCACCGATATACGCTGTTCTAAAGGTTCGTTTTTAAGTACATATCTGTCGAAAATCATTCTTTCCTCATATCATGAGTTTCCTTCCTGAGATTCTGTTTGTATGCTTCATAAAATCACCTAGAAGTAAGAAAAAGAAAAAAGCATCAGCAGTACGTCGGTGCTCTGCACCGACATTTCGATGCCACGCGACCACCACCAGTTCCATGCTGGTGAGAGATGCTGCGATGTCACGCGCACCTACGCGAATTAAAACCCCTGACAGGTGCATTATCCTTTCCATTATCTATCGCCATAGAATCACCCACTGTGGTTTTACCCCTGTGACTTCCTGAGGCCTCGATGGACCTGAAGCAAAGCCCGGTTTTGTGTCAACAGAACGTTAGGCTACCGAATGCCTGGTGAAACAGGGTTTTCTCGGTTTCTTTTTACTCACCACGGAGATAGCCATGGGAACAGTGGTTGGATTTAAATGGACCGTGCTGTCACCTCCTAGATTGACAAAGTTGTTTCATCTGGGGTTAACTTAAGTAACTCGGATAAATAATGGATGATCAATCGTTGATCAGAAGACACCACTGGAAGAAAAAAGCTGAGCTTCGGTTATGTGAAGTCACTGTTTCACCTTTTAATTAGCCTTGAGATTATCTTGTCAATTCAATACAATCGGAAGCCGGTAGATTAGACCTTTGTTTATAATTTTACTTCAAACCGGCTTCACCGTATTATTTGTGATTGATAATTGGCATTAATGATCTAATACTGTCATGGATTTACGAGTTACCACTTCAAGTTATCCGACCTCCTGCCTTTTTTGCCGTTAGTTGACGGGATCCCCGATACTACGCATTTGTGTGAATTGGCCAATGCAAAGAAGCTCAGTCATCTACTGACTACCATTAGAGATGTAAGTCCCTTCCTGCTGCTCTGCAGAAACCGCCATTACATTCCAAGACGCTTGACTCATCACTCCTTATTAGTGTTATATTATTTTAACGCTGAATTACATCCACTCCCCGTAAGTGAGTGGTATCATGGTTGTATGAATAAAGCCGGTTGAATTTTTGTTACTCGTTTCTCTAGTTTGGATTTCCATGGCATTCTTCACGCATTTCGAAGGAACGCTACTTTGAGCGAGTCAACCCAGAATATAATACGCTGCATGCACTTGAAACCCTTTAGGATCCCATTTGCTAACACCGTACACATCAGGCGTTTATACTGAGAGTGAAAAGCCGAGATATGGGACTCTGTTCGTGCACTGTGCATTTGAGCGGATAGTTCTTGTCACTTACAACCGCCCGTTCTGACAGCGATCTGATTGCTCAATCACACGCTTGTGACTGTCGGCTCCAGCCTCACACTATTGTATCATTTGGTTGCGGATGTGGCACTTGACACTCGGGAGATCGCAAAAAAATCCAGCCAACACTAACATGCATTCGGCTATAGAATTGAAGACTGGTAGCTCAGGTTGTTCAGATGGCGGTTGAACTGTTCGCTGAGCTTGGCAATTTTGTTGCAAACGTTTCGTCACCAATCGAGGTGACATCATCAGTGCGTAGTTGAGTGGCGTGCAGTAGCCTAGCGTAGCGTAGAGGAGCCTCGGTGAGAGTGCGCTGAGCGTGGTGTGCGTGCGTTTTTATACCGCCGTGGTTGTCCGTGGAGACGAGCAATCCTATTGGTTGGGACTTCGATCCGCGTTCAGCTTGGTTGATGGGCAGATGACCTTTGACCTTGACTCCTTGTGTTTCGTGGCCTTTGTCTGCTTGCTCTTGTGAGCGAGTCTGCCGTCAGTTCTGGTTGTCTAGTCACACGTTCCACCGGATTCAATCGATCGAGTTGGCGGTCGTTCGCCAGTAGTGTTGCGTATACTGCGTCCAGTTCGATGTGTCGATTGATTGAATTCGTTGTAGAGTACCAGGCTTCCAAAAACTCCCTCGCGTGTTTTGTACTTCCATGTGCTAGGATCTTTACATTCTCCAGATCGAAATGGTGGCCTTCTTGATCTTCATGCGCAGAAACCAATGAGTGCGGATCATGCCTTCTGACGGCCGCCTTGTGTTCGGTGATTCGTGTACAAAGCTTTCTTCCAGTTTGTCCGACGTAGTTTTTATCGCAGTCGCTGCATTTTATCTGGTAGATGACATTGCATTGGTCGGCTTGATTGACTTTTCTTTGGGTCTTGAGATCAATTTCCTTAGGGTGGCACTTGGCTTGTGAGCCACAGAGATTCCATGTGACTGCAGCAATCTTCCTGTTAGTTCGGAGACGTTCTTGATGTAGGGGAGCACTATCCGTTTGTTTGCTTGCTCAGGTGACTGCTGCTGCTGTTGCTGAGACATTCGTTTCTTTAAGCTTCTTCTGATGAAATTTCTCGGATAACCGTTGTTTCTAAACACTCGATATAGGTGATTTTCTTCCTGTTTCCGCGATTCGGCTGTGCTGCAGTGCGTTTCCGCTCTTTTGAACAGGGTTTGAATGCAGCTCTTCTTGTGATTCATCGGGTGGTTGCTGTGGTAGTTTAATATCTGGTCCGTATGCGTTTTCTTCCGATATACGCACGTTTGCATAGATCCGTCTGTATTCCTAGTGACCAGTACATCCAAAAATGGTAGCTTGTTATCCTCCTCTAATTCAATCGTAAATTTGATATCCTCGAATGTGCTGTTGAGCAAATCGTGCGTGGCCTGTACTCTGTTCCGTTTTACGATGACAAATGTGTCGTCCACGTATCGTATCCAGAGTTTTGGGCTGATAGATGGCAGTGCAATGCGCTCCAATTTCTGCATTACGGCTTCTGCAATGAGCCCCGAAATTGGGGATCCCATGGGTGTTCCTCTCAGTTGCTGGTATACTTGTCCATCAAAGCGGAAATAAGTGGTCATGCAGAGGTTCAGGAGTTCCCAAAAACTTTCAGGTCGTATGGTTGTCGTTGGGCTTAGTTGATTCTCAAGTAGTTCCATCATGGTTTCTTTGGCCAATTCGTGACCGATTGAAGTGAAGAGTGCGGTGACATCGAATGAAAGCATTATTTCGTCGTCTTCTATTCTGACACTCCGCAGTTTGTTGAGGAATTGTTCAGCATTGTTGATGCTATGTTCGGATCCAGCAACCAAATGTTTCAACCTCCTCCACAAATCCTTCGCTAGTTTATATGATGGGGTTCCGGGGAGCGAGACGATTGGTCGTAGTGGGACTCCATCCTTGTGTACTTTTGGTAGTCCATAGAACAGTGTAATATTTGTATCATCAGCTTTCATCCTCCATCTCTCCGTGGCGGTGAGCTCGTTCTTTGTTTGTAGTTTCTTCAGCGTTGCGTTGATCTGGTTGACCAGTTTTGAACTTGGATCTTGATCGATCTGGCGATATGTAGTTGTGTCGGATAGCAGTTCTTTGGCCTTGTTACTATACTCTGGTGTCTTCAATATAACTGTCATGTGCCCTTTGTCCGCTGGGACAAAGCTGGTTGATCAATTCACGTACCTTGGCAGCTGCATCAGCAACAATAGCTCAAGGAAACTGATGTCAGCTCGCGCATTGCAAAGGCCAGAGCTGTTTTCTTGAACCGGCAGCATCTTTGGCGACAGAAGGGAGTTTCCGTTCGTCTGAAAGGCTGTGTATACAAGGCCACAGTGAGGGCCGTTCTGCTGTATGGTAGTGAAACTTGGCCCCTTCGGTCTGAAGATCTGAGGCACCTTCAAGTCTTTGATCATCGTTGTTTGCGAAGCATTGCTGGTGTCGGATGACACGAGCGTATCCCCATCGATGATGTGCGTAGGCGAGTACTAGGTAGTGATAATCATGCTAGCACCCTAGAACAACAGATAGCGCTGAATAAGTTGCGTTGGCTCGGGCACGTGCTACGCATGCCTGGTCACCGCTTACCTAGGAGGGCATTGTTTAGTCTGCCAGTTGTAGATTGGCACAAGGGTCGAGATGGGCAGAAGTTGATTTAGCAGTGTGAAATGAAGTCACCGACGACCAAACTGGATGCCGTTGGTCAGCCTGATCTTCCTGACTGGAGTCCATGTGACTCGCTTTGTGCTTGACTCGAGACTTTACAGGACATGGCTCGCAGCCAAAACCATTGGCGCGTCTGCTGCCGTCTCCTAATCGGATTGTCTGTTTAAAGTGTGTTTTGTGCTGAGTTATCTGTGCTGTATTGGTTGATTATGACGCGGAACAGTGAAGGCTGCAAGGAAGCTGTCGCGCCTATGCCGCCTTATTGTTGCACAATAGCCAGCTGTTTGTGCGGTATGTTGTCTACACAAGGTGTAGGCGCCTTGACCCTGAGTGTTTGCCTAGGGCATTAAGGTTTTCAGGTAAGTCTCCCTACGCTCTCACTTATTATTCTTTATCCTATAGATCATCATGATTGTATGGTAGCGAAGCTTCAGTTCAAATGGCTGATGTACTGCTGCTGTTGTTGTTGATGATAATGATAATGAAGACTGGAATCATGAAATTGGACCGTTCGCCTAGCTGTCTCCTCACTCAGATGATGAGACAAGTTGTCAACTTTTCAGTAATGTGTTAGCCGTCTGAGTATTTGTTTTTTTGTCATATGGTGACCCCTTTTGCATCCAATCTGCAGTCTGTGATGGTCTCATCATCACTCCGTTGAAGCATAGTTTGCGTTGCGCCGTTTGTTTGATCGATGCTTAGTTACACATTGTCACTTTTCTGAATTCTACGTACAAGTCATCAGTGATCATATTTTATGCATCTCTGAGTGGTCGTCCCCTCGATGTTTACACCCGTCGACCACACGCCACCTCGACCTCACATTTAGCCTTGCAGCTGACTCAAACTCAATGCTTCGGCATCAATTCGTCACATGGAACACAGGTCCCCAGTCTAGCTTTTTTCGTCAAGGGTACCACTTTTATGTTCTCATACCACATAATCTGCTTACATCTTTCTTTACAACACTCGTGCTTTTGGCGTTTAGATGAATCAAGACCAGAAACCAGTTAAGGGTTAAGATTTCTTTTCGGTAAACACTCATCAGACCCGAACGTTTACATAACGCTGATTGTGTGTGGATAAGCGTTAACCTTTATTTACTGGTTTCCAATTGTGATTATCTTTTCAACCCAGCTCCTCTCTGTTCCCACACCTTCCGTAACTGTGATCAACGAGCTACTCAAACGTTCACAGCCATTGTTTCGATTGCTGATTCAAGTCCTGATAGACGACGAGCGGAAGACCAATGAGCTTCCATCTTCACCTTGCCTGCTACCTTCCCCAGTGGATCTCGGGAATGCGAAGTATGCCCTTCATATATTTTATCTACGTACCGCATTTTGTATGCTCCACTATGTTGATTTTCAAAAAACCGACCAACTCAACTGTTTTACTATTGTTACTAAAGTTTATCTACTTGGGACGCCGTTTCTCGATGCTCATTACCACTGGGTCCTTTCTGTTTGAGTTTAACACACCGTCCCTGACCTGACCCGCCCACTTCCACATCTTCTTTCGTCTTGCCTGGACGAAACGCCTGACTTTAGGGGAGCTTCCGCTTCTATTACACTTACAATCCACGAAGCATCAGTACGCTGCTCAGTTAACCCGGTTTTCACCGACTTGCTTGGACAAAATGTTGATTCGAGTCACTCACAATGCACCATGTAAGGGGCTTTCATGTCCAAGCCTCCAAAGGTCATATTATAAAACGGGTTCTTCAAGGTCGATTGTTTCTAGCGTGGCTAAGTAATTGTTTGTACTAGGTGAGCAGCCTCAGACCATCTGCATCACTGAACCAGCGTCTAAGCAAGAGCTTTAGGTTTACTGGTAGGCCTTGGTAAATCATGGGAGCTAGGGAAAATCAGGTTCGTTTTATCTAATCCACACTGCTTGTCATTAAAATGGTCTACTTGAACTAAGCTATATGCGAATGGAGTGGACAACCCGTCCACTCTGAGCTCCACCGACTCGAGTATTGGTTACAACCTACGAAGAATCATTCCAACTGGCATACTACCGCCAATCTTCTTTGAGCTGTTGATTCCAGTTGGATTAAAGACCTTAGTCCAGTGTTTGCCTACGCTGACTGATGCTGTCATAGGAAACAAAGACAACCAAACCTGATAGTCATTCATGGGTGCCACCTAACAATTGTTGATTACTAGCCGTTGATTTTGTTGTTGTTCTCTGTTACACTTAGCATTGCATTTAGCTGTGCTCTCTGGTTGGCGATCGTCCATGCTCATCGCCATCCTAAGTCGCTAACGACTTTCACGTCTTTAGGTGGACGCATCTCTTTGATGGCCCTGACTTCCTCTGGGTCTAGTTTCAGTCCTTCGGAGTTTAGCACGTGTCCATGAGCACTACTTCCGTCCTACGCAACTCGATATTCTATCATCTTATCCTGATGTTCCTTACAAAATAGCGGTGCAAAAATCGGTCGAGCTTCTGGTCGCGATCCCCTCGCGTAGCGCCAAAAACCAAAACGTCGTCTGCTACACAGGACGTTCCTGGTAAATCGTCTAAAGCCTGCACCAGTCGTTTCTCGAATATCTCGCTAGATACCTTCAGTCCAAACGATAGAGGAAGCCAGCGGAAACGCCCGAAAGGTGTCCCAAACGTGGTCAGGTAGCTTGACTCTTCGTCAAGTAATACGTGCCAAAACGCCGAAGCAAGGTCGACTTTTTGAATATTCTAGCTCTGGGTAGCACCGGAAATACGTCGTCTAGAGTCGGTAGCGTATACTGCTCCCTCCTGAGCGCGGTGTTAAGTGGTTTCGGATCAATGCACACGCGTAGTTCTCCAAATTTCTTAGTGACAATCGCCACCTGGCTAACCCAATCTGTCAGTTGCTCAACTTTGGCTATTACACCCAAACTGACAAGACACTGCAGCTCGTCTAAAACCGTCTCACGTAAAGCGATAGCCACCTTTCTGGTCGGCAACACTACCGGCTAAGCGGATTCGATTACAGATAAATAAGCACACCCTTCGAATCTCCCTACCACCCCGTCAAACACGCCTGGATACTTGTCAACATTATCTACGCTAGCTCCACACGAATGGACAAAACATTCAGGGTTAAAAGAATAGAATCAATGCCCAAAATGGGCATAAGGTCTCCGGAGACAATCAGATAATCCATTTGCTGTTCTGTGCCGTTTCTCGGATTGATGGACTTCAACGTGGCGAGACCTTTCGGTCGCAGCTTTCAACCGTTCCACATTCTGAGGCAATTCTGCCTTCTGCCACATGTCACTCTCAGACAGTACTTCTTAGCTAGGATGTTGACAGTAGCCCCTGAGTCCAGTTGGAAGCGCACCGGTCGTCCTCGAATCAAAAGCGTCACGAAAACACATTTATATTCTCCACGATTTTCCAAGTTGTTTATCGAAAATTCCTGTATGTATTTGTTGACGCTCTTAACCACCAAGCTGACCTTGGCGGATCTGCAACAACGAGCAATGTGGTTCTTGGAACATTTTGTACACGTTCGACCCCAAGCCGGGCAACTCTCCTTCTTGGATGTACACGGCCGCAAAAATGACAACTCGGACCCTGTTCTCCAGTTGTCTGGGGCGGAGTATTTCTGGTTCGGGATACCGCGCACAGGTCGGTGTTTGGTTCCGCTCTCACATGCTCAAACTTCTGCGCCGTCCTTGCTTTACTCAGGCAGATGTCCACATATAGTTCCCAAGACAGGTTTTTTTTGTCTCAGAAGGTGCCGAGTGAGCTCATCATTCGTTATACGATGACAATACGATCACGTATCGAGGACTCTCATGCATTCACAGAAGTTGCAGTTACGCACCAATAGTTTCAGTACTGCGATGTAAATGTCGAACGATTCGCTTGGGGATCGATTGCGACCACAAAATAAATACCTTTGATAGGTTTCCTTTGCCTGTCCTTCGTAAAACACCCTGAATCTTCTCAACACTTCCGGAAGCTCGGCTTCCTCACTTGCCTCGCTCAGCTCCAGTGTCTCGAGCACCCCATGGCTTCATCACCCACAGCGTGCTTGAACATCGCCCACTGGTACGCCATCGATTGAGTATCCAACTGGGTCAGCGTGACGAAATCCATCCACTTCGCCTTCCACATTCTCCAGTTCTCTAGCAGCGTGCTTTCAGTCATCTGCAGGGCCATCGGCAGTGGGATCGATGGCTGTCCACCAAAAACGGGCGTTCCGACGCATCGGCTTCTTCTCCGCTGTCACCATGTCTAGTAGCCTCCCGGGGAGCAAGAAGACTTTGCCGTGATCACCTAAGTCGTTTATTAAGATTAACTCGCATATTTATAGAGTATATACACTATTTGCAACAGTCCGCTTCACTGGCTCTTCCTTGTTATTTGCATTCTGTCGCTGGCTCCATTTCCATTGGTTTATGCTTGTTCGCCACATTCATTCTGTCTAAAATTACCTCGACTTTCTTAGTGGATTGTACGATTGGCTCGATTGGGCACTCGTCCATCAGGCCGCGCGCTTCTTCCCTCGGTCCAATCCCACAAACCTTGGCTCAAGTGCGCACCAATAAGCTCCTCACGAGTATGCGCTTCTTCGCCTGTGCTTTTGGAACCTGCTGGCGCCTGATTGGTCACTTGCTGGCTGTGTTTACAGAGCTTGACGCGAGTGTGCGCCAACCATTTGCCGTTTGGCTGACCAATCTGCTTCCGACGACACGCTCACTCTATCGGGCTGGACCGCACCTGTCTTGCTACTGCGCGTGATGTCCGCTGTTGTTCGATTGGCCATCTGCTTATCGGTATCACAGCATTTCCTGCCCCCATCACAATCCCTTATCACAATAAACACCGTACCGGAGAAATTTTTGTTTATACTTGTCTGCAGTGCGACTTTCGGGGTCTGCAGGCAGCTTACCACTTTGTCCGTTACATCAAGTGGTGTACATCAGTTTTTTCTATCCCCCTTTGTCTCCTGTTTCATCATCTAGGCAGTCTTGATCGACTCCATCCTCACTATCATATGCATTGAAAATTGTACTAGCTGAACAATACAAAATCTGGACCATACGAACGGATGACTGAATTCGGCCCATATACGAGCGCTTCCGTACGGTCTACCATATAGCGCTTACTCTTGCTTCTGCTTCGGCTTGCCAATTGCTAAATATCTATACAGGATTTAGTCTGCACATCAGTTTCTCATTATCTCCATATGTCTATTCGAGGCGATTGAGCTGTTTACTTACGTTCTCGGACATTTCGCTTCCATTTGTCAAGTCAGTGGGCCGGTATCGGGCCTATCCGTAAGACGTGTGATTCCTCAGAGCCTTCAAAACATGTGAACGAGCGCGCCATCAACTTATCGATTGGAATTTTAGCACATGAGGCTACGATGTATCGTGTGTTACTATATGTATAATAGATTTTTCTGAGTCCAGGCCGTTTGTTGTACAAGTGCTGTTGGATAGGCTTACACGTAGTGCGGCACGCTTCGGCATGCGCTTTGCCAACACACTACCAACTTTCACAATCATGCACTAATCGAATTGATCGATTGGTCTACTTATTTAAGCAGCTTCATCATCTCTGGTGTTCTCATCGTGTAGGAGACTGTCGCACGCATTGCTTAGACCTGTACAAGTTTTCGAGGGTCCAGCCGCCGATGGGAACGGCGGGACAAACGCATATTGCTGGACGAAAAGCTCTACAACCTTACTGTTTTGATCAGAGAACTTGCCGTCAGTGGAATGCAGCGTTGTTTATGTTTGGACAGAGAACCGACTGAGTCGCACCAAAGTTCGTCGTCTGAGGCTCGGCATCCGGCCCTTCTGGTGCTCTGTTACAATCTCTGTTGGACACCAATCAACTCCATTGACTTGGTCACATGATGTAAACACCTATTAACAGTACTCCGGTGTTTCACTGCCACACGACCATCACCAATCGCGCGCGGACTAGAGGTACGGCGAAGTCCACCGTATCTGCGCAGATTCAAACCCGTGATCTTTGGATTACAAGCACATAATTAATGCTAATCGGCCATCTGCCGACATGAGTCGTGCAACTCAGCGTTCCGATTAATTGAGGTTGTGTAGTTTGTCTATACAACACCTTGTTAACTGAAACCCCTAGGGGGTCATTCAATGACATGCTCAAAAAGCCCGAGAGAAATTCGATAAAAGGCTAAACGCGGACATTGTTATCTTCCCGGAAGGGTATACAGATGTGATGGGATTGTGCAAGCAGAAGAACGATATGGGTCTATGTTAGGAAGGAATACACAATGCGTACAAGCAGACGATCCAAACTCACCCGCCCTGATTGGGGCGAACAA